ATCCAGTTTATGCGCATCGCGAGCTTCTCCAGAGAGCTAGTGCAATTGCGCAACGGCCGGTCGGTGGTACACAGCTGAACAATAAAGATACCCCACAAGAAGAGGCGATCTGCCAGACGATAACATCGCATGCATGCATATATATACACACAAAACAAACGTACATGTCGTTTCCTCATCGTGCATTAAAGTCTTCCAAGACAGTTACATGAACAGAACAATGCCGCATTATGATTTTCTCACACTTCGACCATTTACATTTTCGCATATTCACTACATTTGTATTTTTTCTTCTACAACCTCTTCTTCGGTTCAGGTCTTCGAGTCAGAGTTTTATTAATTGGCATTCGCGATCCGCTTGAATTTCCACGACGAGTTATTAAACACGCTTTTGAACTTAAAGCCAGTCAGTATGAGTAGTTCTCAGTAGTTTTCCCATGGCATTCGCTAATCCCGCCGCAGCTGCTGCCTTAAATAGATTGCCTCCTGTATATAACCTAATTAAGCATCCGGAATATCGCCGATGATGATGATGATGAAGATAATGATAATAACGCAAGCCACACGGCGAGTCAAACGATTTATCAAAGACTTATAAAGGTATGGATTCTGTGTTGGCAGGTAATTCCAAAAATGGTCATCTAATGACCCTTAGTTATTATTAGTACCTGCAAAATGCAGAGACTTTTATTTTCAATTTCACAAACATGATTTTCATATAATAACTAATCAAGTACCCTAAAATACAAAAAAAAAAGTAAAAGCTTTGATTTAATCGAACGAACAATGTGATTATTAATTTATATTTCGTAAATTACTTCTGTTGAAACATCTCGTCTAAGAAAATTGTAAATGAAACATATGTTACTTATTTTGTATGAGTTTACTTTGATTTACGTAACTCACCAAAGATTAATACACCTGTTACTATTGATTTATCCAATCTCTGACCACGGAGCGTGACTCTAATCATTAATCATACATATTGCAGCAACTTATTATATATATATAATTTTTACTATACCCTTTTTCGATATGCTTGAAAAATCTTCATCAGAAACTTGATTCATTTTATGAGGAAAAAAAAAGAAAGTACGATATATATAATTGCTTCCCATTAGTCAACTGAACTTACTTAATTTATCTAGTAAAATTTGTTGTTGTTAAATGTTTTTTATATTAACTAAAATTAATAAAATATTAAATATAAAACTAGTTTATGTTTTCGTAAATATGTTAATTTTTTTATGATCCCAATTTGTATCATTACTAAAATCTTAATACTCAATATACAATAAAATTAATCAAACTTAGTTTAAAATCGATATGACGCAAAAAAAAACAAATATTAACAAAATTATTTATTTTATTATATGCAACCAACCAATCATTTACTAGACAGATTTAAAATTTTAAAAAAATCTTGGACAGTTTAACATTTTTAATTCTCTAATATATCAGCAAATTTATCAAAGAGATTTATTTTAGTAATACATGTATCATCATCATGAATAATTATTTTTTCCAATATATGTTTACAGCAAATGCAGGTAATTTCTGAAAAATATTAAATTAACATAGAAATACCTCATGAAATTTAAAAAAAAAATACTTTTATATTTACCTTTTACGGTAAAAGTGAATTACTCACAAATATTACGTGTAATATTCACGATATGCAATTTGTAAAGCTAATAAGGTAAGTGATATTGTTATATAAAATTGGTTCTAAAATATTAGATTCCATTCAATAGATTTGAAACGAAACGCCCAAAGTTTCGAGCCCATTTTTCGATTGGTCTAGATTTGAATTAAAAAAAAATCTGTTAACAAAAAACTTTATGGTGAATATGGATAGGACCAATAGAATTGTTAAGTACGAAGAAAGGCGCGTGTTGCCGATCCCTCTTTTTGGCGTTTGGCGATATGATTCGCAGCTGCAACTACAGTTTTATGACTCTCTTATCTAGTGTTGGAAACTCCTTCTTTTTGTGACCCAATAAGAATTATTTAAACGTTCAAAGCAGCTGCAATTCGTCGATTCCCAGACGCACAGTGGCGCATTTGATCTGCAATGTTAAAAAACATATGGGTAATGTTTAATTTTCAATCCACCCTTCTATAATGATCTGAAATGCAATATTACAAACTCAATTTATAAGAAGTAGTAAGTTTGTAACTGAATAATATTTATAATTTGATTATACAATGGAACCTCGCTTAACGAACACCTGGATTATGCGCCTGCTACAACATTTTTAAAACTTGTGTGCACATATTATGTGTATTTTTGTATATATTAATCATCTGTAAATATAATTTGTGTTTTCTGTAAATGCAAAACAC